GGGATAAGACAGTGTGACAAAATATATCGATAATAATTCTATACCCTACCTATACCTAAATAAATAGAATTTACTCTACTGATAGATGGACTCTACCCGTAACGTCTATTCTATTTTTGTATCATATTAATATAATGCCATTATCATTCATCATCATTAAAGCCCTTTACAAGTCCACTGCTGAACATAGGCCTCTTCCAAGGGATCACCAGACCCACCTGCATCCATCAATTTCCTGTTTGTCTTACCAGATTTTCACTCCATCTAGTGAAGGCACTTCCGACACTTCACCTGCCGGTATGAGGCTGCCACTCGAGAACCTTTTTTTCCATCGGTTATCGGTTCTTCGAGCTATATGGCCAGTCAATCGCCACTTCAGCTTACTAATCCGTTGGGCGATGTTGGTCACTCTGGTTCTACTGTCGATATCCTCATTCCTAAGTTTATCCTAAGCTTTCCAGCTTTGGCAGTGTATTCTAGGGGGCTTGACATATCGCAATTCATGGGTTCTTGATCGAACACTTAATTGCCTTTGCCGGTGGATGTTGCGCAAGAGGAAACTGCCAAAAACCGTGAATGTAAACGATGGCCAGAATTTGTAAATAAGAAATAAACTGAAGTAGGGCTACTACGAAGTTAAAGCACAAATTAAATCTTGAGACTCTAGAGAGAATTAAATCTCTAGACTCGCACTTACTAAAACCCCATGGTGTTCTACCTGCGCCGTAAATTGACAGGGCCACGGAAACGCTGTCACGCACACCCGCGGCCCTTCCGGCGCCAGTCGTCCAATGGCAGCCCCTCCTTAGTTGATGACTTCTCTCCCCGTTTCTCAGATAAGGCGCACCGGAAACGCAAGGCACACTGCCCTTCGCGGCTTCTGACTCCACCTGTACTACGGACTCCCCAAGGCCGATATGTGAATAGAGCCAGGAAAAAACCAGCACTTGGAAGCATCAAGTGGTGCAGCCTCACCAAAGTCGCTGAGGATAGTCGAATGGCATCGCATCGCCAATCGTCATACCAACATTCCTCTTCCCTGACGACTCCACCTCTAAAGCGGTACAGGGAGAGGAATCTCCTCTAGCCGTAGCCCACTATCACACATCCAACGTGGCTCGACATCATCAGGCGACCTTTCGACTCTTGGCTATGGCCCTTGAGTTTGTGGGAAAATTAAGAAGGAAGAAATTTAAAAAAAAAAACATTCGAAATAATAATCTAAATCTTTTATACTTCTGGTACTGGTACTACCAGAAAATATTGTCGGAATACTGTAATTTTTCAAAGTGGTGCAGTTCTCATGTCTAATAAAACAGTCGTCTGTGAAATGTTCGCAACAAATATGATCATATTGTTTCGAACGACGATTCACAATATTTATGCTTTTAAGCCATAATTTTAGTCCAGGTTCAGTTAAAAACCTATTAATTAATAAACGTTTGATGATCATCCGTTGTTGGCGACTTTGTTTGTTAACAGATATGGGTAGGAATGAACATCGATAAGTTTTATAGACAAGGAACTCGACAACCCTATTGAATTTTATTGTTTATCAAAACTCAGTAATATACATTGAATAAAAATAAATTTACGGATTCTATCGCGTTTATTTAACTGATTTTACTTATTTTTAATTCCCGACGTTTCGGGTGCTTTACAGCAACCATGGTCACGAGGGGTCATGGTTGCTGTAAAGCACCCGAAACGTCGGGAATTAAAAATAAGTAAAATCAGTTAAATAAACGCGATAGAATCCGTAAATTTAGTTTTATTCAATGTGTAGTGTTCGCGTAAATTTAAGAAATTATTATTAGTAATATACAGCCAAACATGTTGGTATATATGGTATTAAGATTAGTATAAAATTTTTAAGTATTTATATTATCAAATAGTTTTAATTTGTTTAATATTAGCCGAAAATTCACTTTCTTGTGAAATGTTATACCACTCCCCTTTTGTAAACGAGTTTTACAGATTACGCACACTCATTATTATTAAAAATAATTCTTATTATGTAACTAATACATAATCAAACACCATAAAACACTTTACACTAACTTTTAAACTATAAAACACTCGTTTTATAGTTTAAAAGTTCAAAATACAGATTTTTTAAATAAGACAACAGACTTTGGCATAATGTCAATTTTAGTTGCAACAATTTTCATAAAATTTAGTGTCCAGGGAGTTTCGGGGGCAATAAATCGATCTAGCTAGGATTTATTTTTAGAAAATGTCCTTTTGTCCGTGTTTTCAGGCAATGAAAAACTGCTAATATAAGAAGGTAAATTTTGACACTGTTAATGATCGCAATAGCTCAAGTGGATATCGCGCGGTCGCGGAATCGTAACGCCTTGGTTCGCGTCCTGTCTTCGGACCGATTTTTTTCCTTTTTTTTCAAGTTCCCTTTTGTGAGAAAATCTATTATTTCTAGCCCTTTTTTTAGTATTTTTTAAAAATACCAAAATTTTAATTAAACTAATTGCACTCATGATTTTTTATTCAAATAACCAGTTCAGTTTTTTTCTATTATGTCAATAAGACCAAAAATATTATTTATATTTCAATGTAATTTAAAAAAAAACCAAGCTAAGCTTGGTCATCCGGGTGGCTATATTATATTTACGCATACTATTCGAAACGTATTACATATATAATAAGAATACGTTAGTTTATGCATATATATATACTTATACACACATATATATACACATAATATGTACAAACATGTATATATTTCAATACAAAAAAATTAGTTCATTGTACGTCTCAAACGTGTGAAATAATGTTTTGTTTTAGGACGCTGCAGTTTAAAGGAAGCCAGTTCTTATCTTCGCCACTGTCCGACAGTGCTTTGGGTAAGTTGTTACTTCACTTTTATATGTAGAAATTAAACCATTTACCATTGCCATTAGAGCCTGTCAAAACTACAGCTGAAACATAATACCCCCCCCCCCCCGTAAATATACGGGAGGATTATCATCTATATCAAATATCATGCCATAATTATCAAGTAGATTACAGACTACGCTATAATATATAGTATATAGGTCATAGCACGACAATATCGCGCACCATAAATGAATCTATTAAAGCGTAGTCTGAAATCTACCTCAAGCGGCTTGCTAACCGCAGCTTTTTATTTTTATTCAGCTGTTATCAAAAAAGATACTGATATATGTGTGCACTATCTTATTATATATATAATATACGTTAGCACTACTTTCTAACTCGTAATTGTTAATAGATAACTGCGTAACTCGTAGTAAAGTAACTTGTAGTTGGAAGATCACACACCGACTTGTCTGTGAAGTCACAAGGCATCATGCTGCGTTGGTTACCTATTTCGTGGCACATTTTAGTTTTGATTTTTTTCCTTTTAATTTATTTTATTTCATTATTAATTAATGATGTGCATTTATTGCTTCTCAATTGTTAATGCATACGCAGAATACTTCTTTCTTTCGTGCTGCTCATCTTTTGGTTCTGATTCTCTCTGTCGCCTTTTCTGACACTCACTGCCAAAAGCATGGGTAAATCGATGGTCTAGAAGACAAACATGGTAATTACAAAATTTTGATAATTTAACATTTTAATGCCCAATGTATTAAATGAGCATGCTCTACGGATGCCACTCATCCAAATGACATTATTCCGTCTCTTTCTGTCTAAACTGTATTTGTACATTCATAGAAAGTGATGTCATTTTGAAGCCAAAAAAGTAATGGCAGTTATTTACCATCAGTTTAACTACAAAAAATGCTAAATTGATTTATGACATTTCGCTTGTGTTTACCATGATTAACAAATAAGCTAAATATTTTTATTACGTTTGTCATTTTTGTAACTTTCAATTTCCAATTATATTAAATGATGTAAATATTTTCAAGTGCCGGTAGACAAATGGTTTAAGTGATCATAATACTACTGAAAAGTTGTCAGCAAATAATAAAAAATGCTTTAAAAATACTAGGTCGGTGTAGACAAATATTGTAAATGATTTAACAACAAAGTTCTAAGTAAACAACAGGAGCCTGAGAGTACTAAAGTTATTTGTACGTGTCGGCGTTTCCAACGAAAACGACCGATGTTCCAACGAAAATCCCCGATGTCGACGGTGATGTACAAAATACCTTTGCTGCCTCTGTACCGTCGTTTTCGCCTGCAGTAAACACCGAATTTCCCACAAATATGATGGATGCCGCCGCCTCCACTACCTCGGTGCCGCTGTCTCCACCCGCAGCATCCACCGAGGCTCTTAAAGAAACCGCTTCCACAGCTAATGATCTATATATTTTTATCATGCTTTTAGCACCACTTTTGAACCACAAGTTAACACTTCATCGATTCCTTTGCAAGGATCACGCAATTCTAGACAGTCACCACTTCCTAGTACATCGAATAGTACTAATATAGAGCAAATAATTCTCGATCTTCAATTGCCAGACTCAAATGATTCCCCTTACGTAGATTCTGAATCGTCTTACCATCCAGAAAATAACAAACCTGCAACTTCATCTGATACATCTCGGGACGAGATTGAGGAAACAAATGTCCGAAAAAAAGTAAAAAACCAAACCCAGACACATGGAAGAGCAAGAATATAGCAAAAAACAAACGTCAAAGCGGTAAATATTATATCAACAGATAGGGTAACATTGTTAGCGCAAAAAACTGTGTTCCTACAGAATGCAGTAAATGTAGATACAAATGTAATGAAAATTTGCCTGAAAATGTGAGAGCTGATCTCTGTCGTAATTTTTAGGGACTTGGAGAAAGCAAATATCAAAAAATTTACCTTTCAACTCTTATAAAACACGCAAATATTCAACGGTAACTGCAAACGTTTAAAAATAACGGTTGCAGCTACAAAATGACGCGCTATGTCTAGACAGTATTTTCTTTGTCACCAAAACACAGGTAGACAGAGTTTGTCAAAAAATTTTTGCAACATTTTTGTTATAAGTGGAAGTGTAATTGATACTTGCACTAAACAGATGGAACCAAATCGCGTTTACGTGGGTCATGATCTACGGCAGGGACTTATTCCTGGAAACAAAACTTCAAAAGCAATGAAACAATTTGTTAAACTGCATATTGACATGTTTCCTAGAATTGAGTCCCACTATTGCAGAAAAGACTCCAAAAAAATATATTTGGAGAGTGACCTTAATATGGCTCGCTTATATAAATTGTACAAAGAAGAATTCTGTCCAGAAAGAAATATAAATCCTGTTTTTTTGTATGTTTACGAGAAGATTTTCAAATCGTATGACCCACCACTAGCATTTTACAAACCAAAAAAGGATCAGTGCACTAAATGCAATGTATACAAGTCTGCTGAAGACAAAATTAGTTTACAAAGAGACTATGGTGAACGTAAAGCAAGAAAAAAAGAATCTTTGGAAGCGAAGGCATACGACAAGAAGGAAAGCATACGAGGGCGGCACTGAAAATTTCGGGAATCAAGGAAGTGACACAACATTACTATTTAAAAATGTATTTATTACTTTTCGAAGTATTCTCCGCGAAATTTGACACATTTTTCCAAACGATGGAACCAATCATTGAAGCAACCATTCCATTCGGAAGTTGGGGTCTCCAAAATGGCCGTTTTGTAGGCGTCCACAGCTTCTTCAGGTGATGAAAATCTCTGTCCACGCAATTTATTCTTTATTTTAGGGAAAGTATAGAAATCATTAGGGCATAGTCGGGGCTGTACGGCGGATGGTCTAATAATTCTATGTTTTCTTGCTCTAAAAACTCTTGTTCTGTGTGCGGTGTGAGAACTCACATTGTCGTGATGGAGGATGATGCGGCGGTTGCAGTTCCTATACGGAGTTCAGAAACGACCTGTGGCAAACAAATGCTAGCATACCATTCTGCATTAACCGTTCTTTGTCCCTCAAGAGGAATAGTCGTAACGTGGCCGGTTTTGGAGACAAACTTGACCACCATTTTTTTTGCAACACTCCGTGAACGAACAATTTTTGTTGGCTTTAACTCATTTTCGAACACCCAAACTCGTGACTGGTTTTTTGTTTCGGGTTCGTACGCGTATATCCAGGATTCGTCACCTGATACGATGTTGTATACAGCATTTGAGGATCCTGCGTGAAATCTTTCGAGAGTTCTGACGCACCAAGTAACGCGAGCCCCTTTTTGCTCTTCACAGAGCGAATGCGGTATCCATCGGGAAAACAACTTTTTTACACCTAATTGTTCATGCAAGATTATTTGTATTTGACTCATGCTAATGTCTAAAGTTGCCTGAATTTCATGGTATGTCCATTCGGCAGCTTACGCAGCATCAACATTTTCTTGGGTGACTGCAGTTTTTGGACGACCTTGACGGGGATCATCACTGAGCTTGACACGTCCACGTTGAAATTCAGAAAACCAGCGATAAATTGTGGTTTTGGATGGGTCTTCATCTCCAAATGCAGAAATCATCCGGTCAACACCCTCAAGAAATGATTTTCTAGTCTTCCTTTTCTCCACAACAGTTTGACAGACCGAGAATCTTTTTTTAAATAAATAAATGGTATTCGATTTTTAAAACCAAGGAGTTTTCAATTAAAAAGATCTTAATATGACAGGAACAGTGGAAATATTCCATTCCCGATACCATTAGTGCAGCCCTCGTAGAAGGCGATGGTACGAAGCGTGCAATAACATTTGACTTGTAGGCAATAATTGTCAGTGCCTCACACCGCTGACTCTAAAATTTACTACTTACGGAAATTTTCTATCTACAATTTTACTATTTTAGATAATTATCAAAATACATGACTGTGTTATATGTGGGACGAAAACAACGGAAATAAAAGGCAGCACTGAAATTGGTTCAATTTTACTTAAGTACTTGATGGATTTGCCTGAAAACGTAAAAACTGTTACATCCTTTTCAGACACCTGCAGTGGTTAAAATCGCAACAAATATGTCACATTGGCAGCATTGTACGCCGTAATAAATGTTCCTCATTTGAAAACAGTTAACCTTAAATACTTGGAATCTGGCCATTCGTACCTGGAGGCCGACTCTATACATGCAAGTATAGAGCGTGCCCGAAAGCATAAAAAAATTTACTGCAAGAGAGTACGCCTTAGTTGTCAGTTCTGCGAGATCCAGACCCAAACCTTATGATGTGATCATGATGAAGTACCCCGATTTCTATGATTTAAAAGCTTTAGAAAAGTCATTGAATTGCAACATGGTAAAAAACAAAAATAATGAAACAGTAAAGTGGATGACCATCAAATGGACCATACAAATATAAACTAAGTGATACGACTTTCAAAGAAGTTGACATTGCTGCATCTAAAAAAAAAGAAGAAAAAGGGAGTTTATACAAGCCGTTAAAAAAAGCACACAATTCCCAGATGCCAATTTCAAAGGCTAAGAAAAAGGATTTGATGACGCTGTTGAAGGATGGAGTGATCCCAAAAGACTACGTTGATTATTACACTAACATTCCTTCTATTGATGAAGAAAATATAATTAACGATTGTTCAGGCTCAGAGTCCGAAGACTGACCTTAGAAATTTACAGTTTTAATACTTAAATAATAATACTAACGTAATACATGTTTGATTTATTTGGTAATAAAGAAACTTTTACACTAATTATTTTTTTAATACATCGGTACTAAATTCTTCATTATACCCTAAATTAATATACAAAACACGAACGTATTAAGTGAACAATATTATATAAAGTTTGTGTACAAACGTACTAAGTGATACCCTTTTTTGCTATTTTGGTATTTTTATAGAATATTTTAGATAATTGATGTTTGAATTTATGATAATTAAGTATATAGATAAATACCCTAACTAATTATAGGCAGTATATACACAGTTTCAATGACCAGTTTTAAGTTATAGTATCTAGAAGTTTTGAATCATTAAAAACAGTCCCCCTGAAAAATTGGCTGGTCCGTAATTACCATGTTTATCTTCTAGACCATCTAAATATACGTAATTACCATGTTTGTCTTCTAGACCATCGAAATATAAGTAATTAACATGTTTGTCTTCTAGACCATCGAAATATACGTAATTACCATGTTTGTCTTCTAGACCATCGAAATATACGTAATTACCATGTTTGTCTTCTAGACCATCGAAATATACGTAATTACCATGTTTGTCTTCTAGACCATCGAAATATACGTAATTACCATGTTTGTCTTCTTGACCATCGAAATATACGTAATTACCATGTTCGTCTTCTAGACCATCGAAATATACGTAATTACCATGTTTGTCTTCTAGACCATCGAAATATACGTAATTACCATGTTTGTCTTCTAGACCATCGAAATATACGTAATTACCATGTTTGTCTTCTAGACCATCGAAATATACGTAATTACCATGTTTATCTTCTAGACCATCGAAATATACGTAATTACCATGTTTGTCTTCTAGACCATCGAAATATACGTAATTAAATGGTTTGTCTTCTAGACCATAGAAATATACGCAATTACCATGTTTGTCTTCTAGACCATCGAAATATACGTAATTACCATGTTTGTCTTCTAGACCATCGAAATATACGTAATTACCATGTTTGTGTTCTAGACCATTGAAATATACGTAATTACCATGTTTATCTTCTAGACCATCGAAGTATACGTAATTACCATGTTTGTCTTCTAGACCATCGAAATATACGTAATTACCATGTTTGTCTTCTAAACCATCGAAATATACGTAATTACCATGTTTGTCTTCTAGACCATCGAAATATACGTAATTACCATGTTTGTCTTCTAGACCATCGAAATATACGTAATTACCATGTTTGTCTTCTAGACCATCGAAATATACGTAATTACCATGTTTGTCTTCTAGACCATCGAAATATACGTAATTACCATGTTTGTCTTCTAGACCATCGAAATATATGTAATTACCATGTTTGTCTTTTTGACCATCGAAATATACGTAATTACCATGTTTGTCTTCTAGACCATCGAAATATACGTAATTACCATGTTTGTCTTCTAGACCATCGAAATATACGTAATTACCATGTTTATCTTCTAGACCATCGAAATATACGTAATTACCATGTTTGTCTTCTAGACCATCGAAATATACGTAATTACCATGTTTGTCTTCTAGACCATAGAAATATACGTAATTACCATGTTTGTCTTCTAGACCATCGAAATATACGTAATTACCATGTTTGTCTTCTAGACCATCGAAATATACGTAATTACCATGTTTGTGTTCTAGACCATCGAAATATACGTAATTACCATGTTTATCTTCTAGACCATCGAAGTATACGTAATTACCATGTTTGTCTTCTAGACCATCGAAATATACGTAATTACCATGTTTGTCTTCTAAACCATCGAAATATACGTAATTACCATGTTTGTCTTCTAGACCATCGAAATATACGTAATTACCATGTTTGTCTTCTAGACCATCGAAATATACGTAATTACCATGTTTGTCTTCTAGACCATCGAAATATACGTAATTACCATGTTTGTCTTCTAGACCATCGAAATATACGTAATTACCATGTTTGTCTTCTAGACCATCGAAATATATGTAATTACCATGTTTGTCTTCTTGACCATCGAAATATACGTAATTACCATGTTTGTCTTCTAGACCATCGAAATATACGTAATTACCATGTTTGTCTTCTAGACCATCGAAATATACGTAATTACCATGTTTGTCTTCTAGACCATCGAAATATACGTAATTACCATGTTTGTCTTCTAGACCATCGAAATATACGTAATTACCATGTTTGTCTTCTAGACCATCGAAATATACGTAATTACCATGTTTGTCTTCTAGACCATCGAAATATACGTAATTACCATGTTTGTCTTCTAGACCATCGAAATATACGTAATTACCATGTTTGTCTTTTAGACCATCGAAATATACGTAATTACCATGTTTGTCTTCTAGACCATCGAAATATACGTAATTACCATGTTTGTCTTCTAGACCATCGAAATATACGTAATTACCATGTTTATCTTCTAGACCATCGAAATATACGTAATTACCATGTTTGTCTTCTAGACCATCGAAATATACGTAATTACCATGTTTGTCTTCTAGACCATAGAAATATACGTAATTACCATGTTTGTCTTCTAGACCATCGAAATATACGTAATTACCATGTTTGTCTTCTAGACCATCGAAATATACGTAATTACCATGTTTGTGTTCTAGACCATCGAAATATACGTAATTACCATGTTTGTCTTCTAGACCATAGAAGTATACGTAATTACCATGTTTGTCTTCTAGACCATCGAAATATACGTAATTACCATGTTTGTCTTCTAAACCATCGAAATATACGTAATTACCATGTTTGTCTTCTAGACCATCGAAATATACGTAATTACCATGTTTGTCTTCTAGACCATCGAAATATACGTAATTACCATGTTTGTCTTCTAGACCATCGAAATATACGTAATTACCATGTTTGTCTTCTAGACCATCGAAATATATGTAATTACCATGTTTGTCTTCTTGACCATCGAAATATACGTAATTACCATGTTTGTCTTCTAGACCATCGAAATATACGTAATTACCATGTTTGTCTTCTAGACTATCGAAATATAGGTAATTACCATGTTTGTCTTCTAGACCATCGAAATATACGTAATTACCATGTTTATCTTCTAGACCATATCGAAATATACCGTAATATACGTAATTACCATGTTTGTCTTCTAGACCATCGAAATATACGTAATTACCATGTTTGTCTTCTAGACCATCGAAATATACGTAATTACCATGTTTATCTTCTAGACCATCGAAATATACGTAATTACCATGTTTGTCTTCTAGACCATCGAAATATACGTAATTACCATGTTTATCTTCTATACCATCGAAATATACGTAATTACCATGTTTGTCTAATAGACCATCGAAATATACGTAATTACCATGTTTGTCTTCTAGACCATAGAAATATTCGTAATTACCATGTTTGTCTTCTAGACCATAGAAATATACGTAATTACCATGTTTGTCTTCTAGACCATCGAAATATACGTAATTACCATGTTTGTCTTCTAGACCATCGAAATATACGTAATTACCATGTTTGTCTTCTAGAGCATCGAAATACACGTAATTACCATGTTTGTCTTTTAGAGCATCGAAATATACATAATACGAGGGTGTATTGAAAAGTACTCGGCCTAACTAAGAAAATAAACACATACTAAATCAGTTATATTTTTATTTTTCTACATAATCACCATCAAGTTCAATACACTTTTGCCACCTCCCCTTCCAAGCATCTAGACCGTTGAAAAAAAATGATTCTTCCTTAGAGTCAAAATATGCGTCTACAGCTGCTTTGACCTCGTCGTTTGTCGAAAGTCTTTGACCTCCCAAGTGCTTTTTTAGGTTAGGGAACAGAAAGAAGTCTGATGGTGCCAGATCAGGTGAATACGGCGGATGCGGTAACAGTTCAAAGCCACAATTGTGAATTTCAGCCATTGACTGTACTGACGTGTGAACACGGGCGTTATCTTGATGAAACAGGACTTTTCTTCTGAGCATTCCTCGACGTTTTTCTTTTATTTCCTCTCGTAAACGACGTAGTAAGGTGCAGTAGTAATCAGAGTTTATAGTCTGACCCCTTTCAAGATAATCAATCATAATCACACCTTTCGAGTCCCAGAATATTGAAGCCATCACCTTATTTGCCGACAAAATCGACTTAGCCTTTTTAGGGGATGGTGAACCAGGTCTTCTCCACTGTTTTGGTTGTTGTTTTGTTTCCGGTGTACAGTAATGAACCCATGTTTCGTCCATAGTAACAAAACGATTCAAAAAATCATCTGCATCGGCTTCAAATAACTCCAAACAGTCGCGTGAAATAGTCAATCGCGTCCTTTTTTGTTCAACTGAAAGCAGTCGCGGAACCCACCTCGCAGACACCTTGTGGAAACCCAACTCGTTGACAATGATGTTTTGAGTTCGTTCATAAGAGATGCCTATAATCTCGGCTATCTCTCTAATTTTTAATCTGCGGTCTCCCATTATTAAATCAAGTACTTTTTTAATATTTTCGTCAGTAGTTGACGTCGAAGGCCTTCCAGAGCGGGGTTCATCTTTCACACTCTCTCTACCACGCTTAAATTCTGCTATCCATTTTTTGACGGATGAATATGACAGAGCACAATCGCCTAATGTACTGACCATGTCATCATGGATGGCTTTTGATGATAGCCTCTTCTTATGGAGGTACTTAATGACGGCACGCTGCTCGATTTGCTCCATTCGCGGAAATTATGTCCGATTATTTTGTTAATAAATTTATAAAATCACAACTAATTATCGCACACGTTTCGAACTTCACACAATGAACTAGTCTGAACTGAACTAAGTAATGTGGGTAGATTTGATTTTTAGAATTGAATGGATCTGTGTTAGGCCGAGTACTTTTCAATCCACCTCGTATTATGTAAGACCTAACTGACTACATATCGGGAAGAAAGGTTATGAAATCAAAATTTAGGGCGGCCTTAGATGGAGTGACTACCTGGTAAGATATGCACGAAGTCGATGAATGTAGGTGGTTCAGGAGCGTATTTTGCGGTGATAATTTATTAAGCAGTTGACTTATGCAGGGCAGCAATGATGATGTATATAGCATAAGTGTGGAAACCCAGTGACGAACTTCCACTAGTGCAGGGTAGATTACAAAATGTTGCATATTGCGCCGGTAAATGCAGTCCATCCAGACCTTCGGCTAAGTGTGTAAACTCACAACAAATATAATACATGTACAAAAAATAAAACAAATACACAATCTGGTGTTTAATGTTCTGATTGGCGGCTTTTTAAAATTAAAGCCGAACGGAACGCTACACTGTGCCCCGTCCATCGCTTTCAAATCTGACCTTAGGCTTAGTTGTACTTTTACCCGACTGCCTTAGGAGAAGGTTAATGTTTTTCAGAGTACCTATATATGTGTGTATGTGTATCTATTTATTTGGTACGCTTTGTAGCCTAAATGGCTTTATAGATTTTAACATATCTGGTGTTATTGGAATCGTCTTAGTTGGAGAAGTGATATAGAACATAAACTTTTTTCAGTAATTTTATTTATTTATTTACACTTTATTGCATCTTAATAAAAAGGATTACAAAGGGCGGACTTAATGCCATTAGGCATTCTCTCCCAGTCAACCCAAATTTTCTAAACGCATTCGGGTTTTATTTAATTACTGTTTTAACCTTTGAACTAGTAGGTACTGCTACTGTGTGTGATTGAAGTTCTCACTGTTTCTAGTCTTACAAAATGTCCCGTTTCTAGTAATTCGGTTTTGCTGAAATTTGTATCGTTTTGGAATGTATGCATATTTTAAAATATTTCTGCGAAGTTTTCTATTCATCATTTAATGCATTCAAGCTATTTCACAATGACGCTGCAAACTTGGAAACAATCCAAAATATTTGAGTGTATCTGCGCTTTCCCAGGGTTGCATTTTAAATTTTTAAAGCAATTCTGTATAGAGATATGTCGCTTAAATTGAGCGATTTATTAATTTGTTTTGTATTGTTATTGTGTTTTTATTGTTAAGTAGGTAGGTTTATGTCGTGTCAAAAAACTGGGTATCGCCTGATAAACGTGGTATTTATGATAGAATACCATTATTTAATTTATATACTTAATATAAACGATTATGTTCAGATATGGGTTTTATTGGAATGTTTTTCCACTATCAGTAGTTTTTCGTTCTAAAGACAGTATGGTACAGTGAGTGGAGGTGTGGTTGAAATTTTGATAAAAGATCGTCCTATTGCCTTATCGGTGCGGTTATTTATAATAAGTAATGTTTAGTAGTCACTGACCTCTATATATACAAGTACGCTGGACTGGCTATACACCGTGACATGATAAGGCAATTTGATTTGCGCCATTTTGGCGCTGACAGCAGAAGTGCACGTCCACGGAACTCATAATAGGGATAAGACAGTTTGACAAAATATATCGATAAAAATTCTATACCCTACCTATACCTAAATAAATAGAATGGACTCTATGGATAGATGGACTCTACCCGTAACGTCTCTTCTATTTATATATCATATTAATATAATGCGACTATCATTCATAATCATTAAAGCTCTTCACAAGTCCATTGCTTAACATAGACCTCCTCCAAGGAATGCCACAAAGCATGGTCCTGAGCCACCTGCATCCATCAACTTCCTTAATGTCTTACCAGGTTTTCACTCCATGTAGTGGGGGAACTTCTGACACTTCACGGTACGAGGATGCTACTCGAGAATCTTTTTTCGCCATCGGTTATCGGTTCTTCGAGCTACCGCCGGCCGGTCAATTGCCACTTCAGCTTACTAATCCGTTGGGCGATGTCGGTCACTCTGGTTTTACTGCCGATATCCTCATTCCTAAGTTTATCCTCCTAAGCTTTCCAGCTTCGGCAGTGCCACGTATTCTAGGGGGCTTGACATATCGCAATCCAGGGGTTCTTGATCGAACACTTAATTGCTTTTGTCGGTGGATGTTGCGGAAGAGGAACCTGCCAAAAACCGTGGATGTATGTAAACGATGGCCAGAATATGTAAATAAGAAATAAACTAAAGTAGAGCCAATACCAAGTTAAAGCACAAATTAAATCTTGAGACTCGAGAGAGAATTAAATCTCTAGACTCGCACTTACTAAACCCAATGGTGTTCTACTTCCGCAGCAAATTGACAGGGCCACGGAAACGTATTCATGCACATCAGCGGCCCCTCCGGTGCCAGCCGCCCAAAAGCAGCCCTTCCTTAGTTGATGACTTCTCCCTCCCCCGTTTTTCTTCTCAGATAAGGCACACCAGAAACACAAGGCACACTGCCCTTCGCGGCCTCTGACTCCACCTGCACTACGGACTCCCCGAGCCCGATATGTGAATGGAGTCAGAAAAGAACGACCACTTGGAAGCATCAAGTGGTGCAGCCTCACCAAAGTCGCATCGCCAATACCAACCAACATTCCTCTTCCCTGACGACTCCACCTCGACTACAGCAGTACAGGGAGAGGAATCTCCTCTAGCCGCAGCCCACTATCACACATCCAACGTGGCTTGACATCGTCAGGCGACCTTTCGACACTTGACTATGGCCCTTGAGTTTGGGGTAAAATAAGGAAAGAAGAAATAAAAAAAAAACATTTGGAATAATAATCTAATACTTTTATACTTACTGGTACTAGTACTACCAGAAAATGTTGTCGAAATACTGCACTTTTTCAAAGTGGTGCAGTTCTCATGTCTAATAAAACAGTCGTCTGTGAAATGTTCAGAACAAATACGATCATTTTGTTACAGACGCCAATTCACAATATTTATGATTTTAAGCCATAATTTTAGTCTAGGTTCGGTTGGAAACCTGTTAATTCATTTTTAAGTACTTATATTATGAAATAGTTTTAATTTGTTTAATATTAGCTGCAAAATCACTTACTTGTGAAATGTTATACCACTTCGCTTTTGGTAACGAGTTTTACAGATTACGCACATTCTCATTGTTATTAAAAATAATTCTTATTATGTAACTAATATAATATTAGTTTCATAATAAGAATTATCAAACAACATAAAATACTTTCGTTTTTTAGTTTAAAATTTCAAAATACAGATTTTTTTAAATATGACAATTTAAATAAGACAACAGACTTTGGCAAATTATGTCAATTTTAGTTTCCAAGACGACCGTTAGGGGTGCTTCAAATTGGCACAGACATTTTGTATGGTATAGCCAGTCCAGCGTACTTGTGTATATAGAGGTCAGTATTAGTAGTGCTGTGTTGCTGCGCTTTAAGGACACTCATCACTCCATTTCATCCTGGGGGTGTCGTAAGAGACGACTGTCGGTGGACTATGGGACTAAGGACTGTGGACCTTTGAGCTAAATTATAAATATGTCGCTTGAGAAGAGTACTTTCCCTGAAATTTAAAAAAAAATCAATCGTTAAGCCATTATTTAATAAGGGAGATGCTACAGATATGAATAATTATCGCCCAATCACTTTAATACCAGTTTTATCCAAAATATTTGAAAAGGTAATGATGAAAAGACTTAACGATT